AAATTTAGTTGTTTGTGAGGGGGGTTTAAGCAAGAATAATTGGTTCTTGGTTTGATTTTCATATTTATTTGGTGTGGGATTGCAGCTGCTATTGCATGGGAAGCAGGGAAGCCACTAGTCATTGAGGAAGTGGAGGTGGCACCTCCTCAGAAAATGGAGGTCCGGCTCAAGATTCTCTTCACTTCCCTCTGCCATACTGATGTTTATTTCTGGGAAGCGAAGGTAACAACAACAATCACACACTTTTGCATAGTATATAATCAATGCAATGTGTCTTATGTCAAATCAACCTGATGGATCATAGTGTCCTTTAGTAAATTTTGCTGATCTGAGGTTGCGTACTTTTCAATATTTTCAGGGCCAACACCCCGTGTTTCCTAGAATTCTCGGGCACGAGGCATCAGGGTATGTTAATGTCTGAGCCATGATTTCACTGATTCTCGTTATACTGTTACTCATATTCTGGTTTTAGGACTACATATGAGATGGATACTGATTGAATCTTTTTTTTTTTTTTTGGCGATTAGGATTGTGGAGAGTGTAGGGGAAGGCGTGACAGAACTTCAGCCCGGAGACCATGTGCTCCCTGTTTTCACAGGGGAGTGTAAGGAATGTCGTCATTGCAAATCAGAAGAAAGTAACATGTGTGATCTCCTCAGGATCAACACAGACAGGGGTGTGATGCTTAATGATGGGAAATCAAGGTTCTCAATTAATGGGAAACCAATTTATCATTTTGTTGGGACTTCCACATTTAGCGAGTACACTGTGGTCCATGTTGGCTGTCTAGCCAAAATCAATCCCCTTGCTCCTCTTGACAAAGTTTGTGTCTTGAGTTGTGGAATCTCCACAGGTATGAGAATTGGAATTGAAAACTGGATTCCAGTAGTTCAAAGTTTTTAATGCTGGATGTTTAATGTTCTGATGTCTGTGTTTTCGGTGCCCTTCTATTTTAGGCCTTGGTGCTACTTTGAATGTTGCTAAACCTAGAAGGGGATCATCAGTGGCAGTTTTCGGTTTGGGGGCTGTTGGCCTTGCTGTGAGTTTTCGAACTGGAAATCGAAATTTAGCTTTCATTCTGCCCAAATTTCCAAATGAGTAACTGTTCTTGTTACAATTCTACTTGATCAGGCTGCAGAAGGAGCTAGAATAGCAGGTGCCTCAAGAATTATAGGTATCGATCTGCTTCCTGACAGATTTGAACAAGGTTAGCCGTCTTTCTCATCATTCACTTAGAATCATACTCAGACCTTGCATTCAGTTGATTCAAGCTAAACGGATCACTCTGTATTCATTGACCATAGGTCTTAATAAGTGGTCTTTTCCCGTTTTCTTCCTCAAGTACAATTTAGTTCAATGGTTAATAATGAGGTTTCTGTCTTGAATGCAGCAAAGAAGTTTGGGGTGAATGAATTTGTGAATCCAAAAGATTACCCTAAACCAGTTCAAGAGGTTTGTTCTTGGTGACATTTGAATTGTGGGTTGCAGTTGCATCCTGAGCCTCCACTTAATACATTTCCAAAGCACTAACATGCTCTTCAACATTACTAGGTAATTGCTGAGATGACTGATGGAGGAGTGGATAGAAGTGTGGAGTGTACAGGAAACGTCAATGCCATGATCTCAGCCTTTGAATGCGTGCATGATGTAATTTCCTATCCTCTTCCCCTCTTTTAGCCTACTATATTCAAGAATTTCTATGAAATGTACGTTTCTGTACTGAAACGTACTAAGATTAAAAAAGCAAACAAAGAATCAAAGGGATCGTAGGTTCACTCGTGAACTGCAATATTTGTAGGCCTTCTAAACAGACTAATTACACTATGAAACCTTCCATGTCAGGGCTGGGGAGTTGCTGTTCTTGTTGGTGTTCCACATAAAGATGCTGTCTTCCAGACTCATCCCATGAATGTCTTGAATGAGAGGACTCTCAAAGGAACCTTCTTTGGAAACTATAAACCTCGTTCTGACCTTCCGTCTGTTGTTGAAAAATACATGAACAAAGTAAGTCCGCAGATGTTTTTTTTCAAGTTCAATATCTGCTTTGGTTTGGAAGAGACTATGCGTATTGAAAGTGGAGCTTCTAATACCCTTCTCTCCCTTTTTGTAGGAACTTGAAGTGGAGAAATTTATCACTCATGAAGTAACATTTTCTCAGATCAACAAGGCTTTTGAGTACATGCTCAAGGGAGAAGGCTTGCGATGCCTAATCCGTATGGAGGAGTAAAGAAGAAGAACCAAATGCTTTTAATGAGGCTGCTATTACTACCTGCGACTTTTACCAAATCCCTTTACTTGAAGCTTTAAATTGTTCATATCATAATTATCAGTCAGTTATTTAAAATTCTCCCAAGTTGAAGTTGACGTTCTGTATTTTATCCTAAGATCAAGCCCTTTTCATGTGACTACGTACTGCCTTTTCTTTTCCTTCTTTTGTTGCCCAAGTAAATTATATAGTTGCACAATTATCTTTGGAGGAATGGATGGTTTTCTACGTCTTCTTTTAGTGTAATTCCTCACAAGCTGTCTGAAGCTTTTGAAACTTGTCGGGATGATCAATGGAATTCGAGTAAATAGGAAGATTGAAGTTAAGGCCCTGATAACATCAACTATCTAGTTCAATAACAGGCTTCTATAGGCTATCAAGGCAGGACTTCAATTTTTGCTCATGCAGGTTGTACCTGAACTTTTGATAGCTGTTTACGGACCGCCTGTGTTTTTTCCTTTGTTCGGAAGAAATTTCCTTCGTAAACTAAAAGAGAGAGAGAGAGAGATTGAACCTTGCATAATAAAACAAGCAATGAATGATTAATCCTTCATGTCAACCGCTACCAATCAGATCAGACTTCTTGGTGGCTTGGGACCTCAGCTTTGTTTCGAGCAGTAAGTTGATGCAATAGCAAGTCTTGTCATCTAAGTGATAAGATTCAATAGCAAGTCTTGTCCAGAATTATTCAACGGAACTTAAAATTTCATAACTGAATTTGCAATTCAATTAGCAAACTTATCATTCTGTCTACGGACTTGGAAGTCTCTACAGCATTTTCCCTCGCGAAGAAACGTCAATGGCTTAGCAGCAGTTCTCTGCATATGAGAAGTAAAAGGTTTAAAGCCAAAGATGGATCATGTACACTGTAGAATGTGAACTGTCCAAAGATTTCTACCCAAGGTACACCGACAACCGACAACCCATGGTGTACAAGATGCTTTGGACTTGAAAGCTCACAATATACAACTTGTGAGATCTTCAGGCATGCAATTGTTCCCACCCCAACTCAGAAATATTAGCAAGGACCTTTCCTGCCACTACTTTCTCCCGTGAATACTTCACCTATAACTTTGCTTCACTGAATTTTCTTTTTATTACTTCAACGTCATCATGAATTACATTTCTAACTCTATAATTAAAGATAGTCTTACTCCGCTACACTTGGGGTCGTTTGGCTCATGGAATGACACGAGATTGAATTAATCATCTTATGTTATCCCACGTTTAGTTGGATTTTACACATGAGATAACACATCCCAACTAATCAAATTAATCTCCTATTCATGAGATAAAATAAAATAATTCCATGGGGAGGTGTTATTAGTTATTCAGGGATAACTATGAGATAGGATGATGAAATTTTAGACTAATTTATCCTTACAAATAATATAAAATTTATACTCTCATAATTATATAACCTTACCCTTACGCGGTAAGACAATATAAATAGACTAATTTGCCCCAAAGTATTTTTTGACTAATTTGACCATACTACTAACATAACAATATTTGGACTAATTTGCTTTTACTAATGATACAAATTCGTACTGAATATTATATAATCATACTCTCACACAATAATATGATAATAAACGTACTAATTTGCCCCTACTAATTATATTAAAAATTTTAAATAATTTACTCCTATTCATTATTTTAAATTTTTGACAAATTTACCCCTATTAATTACTTTAAATTTTTTTCTAATTTGCTCCTACTTACATCATAATAAAAGGACTATATTGCCCTTACTAACCTTATTTTCTTAATCAAATTTTATATAATTTCAAGCTCAACCCAAAGAAAAATATTCTATTGGCTTGAGTTTGGCTCATTTAGAACTTTTAAATGGGTTGAATTTTATTCAATTTAATCCTAACTTAGTTAAAACTCGGCTCATTATTTAATTAAATTTAAAATTTAGATTCAAAAACTAAGTTGAAACCTATTTTTAAGGGTTGAATGGGTTGAGTTTGAGTGAATGCAAATTTTTTTCTATATCTAAGCCGTTGATTTACTTTATAATTCTAAAGTTGCAGATTATTTTATTTTAATAAAATTTATAAATTATTTTACTAAAACGATTCTACAAATTAAGGGATATTTTGGTTATTAAAATAATAATCCTATCTCATCCAATCTCCAACCAATACAAGATAAAATTATTTTTCAATATACCCTATCCAATATAGAATCAATCAAACACTAGATAATTTGAATTATTAATTCGAGAATGATTCAACTCAGAATAAATAATCCGATATCCTACCTCATCTGGTCCATGAATCAAATGAGCCCCTAGTCTGGATGGAATTATTCGAAGATGGAAGAAGAGGAAATAGCAGTTGTTTCTTTTCTTTCAAAATATCAAGAAGTCAGGAATGAAGTGAAACATGCTGTTTAGTAAATCCTGACAATTCCCTCTCTCGGCTGGAATTGGAAACTTGGAAGGTACAAACTTTGCCTTTGCTCCCCTCGCTCCTCTCTTCCTCTGCAAAAGCCACTCTGGAAAATGTCTCCAGTCTCCCCTAAGGTTGTCGTGTCTAGTCGTGGACCTTTACATAATCAAACGATGAAACGTCTAAAGCAGTACAAACTGGACCAAAGGAAAATGTCTGTCAAAAACCGAGCAAAAGCTTTCGTGGGGCTAGTTATATTCATTTATTTCTCCTCTATTACAATGCATGAGAGAATTGGCAGGAAAATGCCGGTGAATATGCAGTCAAATTGATACGAAGCAACCGAGACTGAAGCAAAAAATTGATTGCAAAATTACAAGTTTGGGGGAAGCGATTGGCGGGGAAGAACCTGTATAAAAATACTGAAGATATGATTTTGTTTTTCCTTATTTTCGAATTTTTCCTCTGTTTAGAAGAATAAACAAAAACAAAAGCCTTGACGCATCATAAATATACACCATACTTACAAAACGATACACAAGGCAATCTACTCTTTAACATGTGGAAGCTTGGCCAAAATGTCCAAGTCTAAGATCTTCACATCAAAGGTAATATCCAACTTGACAATGCCATCAGTACCATCAATACCAATGAGCTTCCCAGTAGCCCCACGATGAGTACCACCCATGATCTTTATTTTGTCAGACTTCCTTGGTGCAACAACCTCTATCTCATTCGGAAGGACAGTGATTGTTTCACCACTGCCACTTGATCCCAATGCAACCCTACATGAACCATCCTGAACCAGGAGAAACACCTCAAAATAAATTCAAATAAAATCTTAAACCAAAATATAAAGAGATGTGGTCACAAGTAAATTTTGCAATGAACTACTCAACCCCAGAAAGCAAATTTGTGCTTATAGAAATACATCAACGTAGTAAGTCAGCAAGTCTCCCACAATATAGTTGATCAGATAGTGAAGTCCCTTGAAAAATTTTACTACTACTGATGCTCAGAAATAAGGCGCACAACTTTTATAGAAGTGCAGGTTAAAACGAAGCTATTCCAGCTGTAAAGCCACACAAACTACATTAACAAACATCCAGTTGTGCCTTGAACCCAATGCCCCTAATGGGTTTAAAGCATTCCTGTGCCACCACACTACCTACTTCATTCAGCAAGGCTTGCTCTCAAGCTGGAAACCATACAGGCTTTTGCATACATTCATGGTAAAAGTCATTCTAATTTTGATGTTAATTAAACCTATTCTTTCCTCAATGAATTATGAGAAGCCCCTGATTCAACCCTTGCCCTCCTGAATTCTAAATTCATTATATATTCCTAAGCATTTATGAAGTCCCCTTTCCAGGAAGCTCCATAAACCCCCAACATAGAATGTTTTACAGAACCACCAAGAAAACAATCACATAAAACCTTCACACTAACATAATGGCAGGTGCAACATGAAAACTGCAAAAAGTTTCAGCCCTTGTGAAGAATTCAGTCTCAGCTCCAGACAAACAGCAAATGATAAAGAATCATATATAGCCTCTTATATATTACACACATACCGGAAGCACCTCTCGTACAACTCCAATATCACCATCTTCACCAGGCCTACGCACATTGACCAGGATATCAGGCAAAAGCCACGGCCCTTCATTGTCCCCACCTGAAATTGTATGTCCATCATCATACCAAAGTAAATTTTGATCAGAGGGAAGAAAAGAAGTAGAAGTGAACTAGCAACTGAACATAAACCGTAGAAAAGAATTCATATATACATTATAAAAATCGTCAAAGCAGGAATCAGTTAATGAAACTCATCAAACTACGGGTACTTGTATAATAAGCAGACATTAGAAATCACAGCCAAAGTACACAATCGCTAAAATCTGTAAAAACACATAAAGCATGAAAAGACTTTCTGCAGGATTTTGAATATTCAAAATATCAATACTCACTAGTAGCAGCTACCTATTTTATGCAGTTGAATATCTTGGTTCACATACTACAAGTCAATAACATTGGATACTTAGAACAAAATTTTGAGGGACTGTGTTCTACATCCCAAACTTAAATATCATGAAAAAAAAAAAAAACTCTTCATGAGAACTATTGTAACTTAATTCATACCAGTTTAAAAATGTTTTGATGGTGTGTAAATTTTGCAGTAGACATGCCCATACAACATTATCTAAGTCTGTTTAGAGTCCTTTTTTCAGAAGATAAGTCCGTTCATTCCTCAGATATGATTCCTTTCTGAACTCTTTAAGGATCAAACTAGCACCTGGAAAAAGATCAATGTACTACGCTTTATACACTAAGGCCCTGTTTGATAACCCAATTCAACACTTAACGAACTCAGATCTTAATATGTTCAAACGCGTTTGATAACCAAAAATTGAACATCTGAATTAATTAAGTGGCACTTAATTTCCTAGGCAAAAATTGCTCCCAAAATTAAGTGATAAACTATTCACTTATCACTGAATGTGATATACACTCAAATATATTAGATTTAATACTTAACAATTTAATAATTTAATGGATTCAGACTTCAGATTTCAGTTTTCAGACTTCAATTTTATCAAATGCACCCTAAAACTTTGTAAGAGGAAAAAATTGGAAAATGGAGGTATCTTGGACCTTCATACTTAATATTATTCAGTCTACAATTGTTATAAGGTGAACCACAGAGGATAAAAGCACCCCAATCTGCTTTCAGTACAATGGTATCCAATTTAGATATCCCTTGACTCATGGTTTCATAAAGTTATTGCCACCTCATCCTTATAGATTTAAAATATAGTCCAAATTTGAGAACCATGTTGGTCATCACAAAATACAATGATCCTAATTTACCAATGTGTGTGTGTGTGTGTGTACCTAATGAGTATATAAAGAGGAATAAAAAGACAGACCTACTACAGGCGACATCATGTCTAAACCGCCACTTCCCGGTGTCATTGGTTGCCCACCAGGGGTACCAGGCAAATATGCAGAACTTGGTGTCATTGGTGGCTGCCCACCAGGAGTTGATGGTAGGTAAGGGCTTGGAGCATTTGCTGCCAAGTAAAGACAACACGTAGAGTCATATAAAGGAAATCCAGAAATATACATTTGGAAATCCGAATTCCAGACAACTGCAACTCAAATCACAAGTTTCACAAGAATTACCATAGGCTGGATTACTATCCCTTGGTGTCCCAGCATCACCGTAACCAGGAGTAGGAGCTTCATAAGTTCTTGACGGAGGACTTCCAGGCTGAACCAACAAAAATGGATTTCCATAAGCAATTAGTTAACAAGCAGTAAATTGAATGAGAATCGCAAGAGCAGTTCATACCTGATATTGCGGACTACTGCCCCATGAAGCAGGGTTTCCATCTTCCCAATCGTCCCTAATATAACCATTTCACAAAAACATCAGCATCACGATCATTTATAGAGATGACATTGTACACATCCAAATTTAAGACCCTTGCTATGTGAATTCTCCCATATTTCCAGTCTCAAGTTCCAAACAACAGGCAATATCACATACTTTGAATACAAATCTGTTAAAGTCATCAAGGGGACTGTTTTATGAATTATTTACTTCCTCACAGTTTGCCCTGCAGGTAGACATATACTGACACAAAGATAACTTGGGCCTGTTTGCATAAATTCTTTTATGTTTACACGTATGTCCAAATCACTTGAAACTAAACATGATGTTGTAATCCTTGACCTTCTCACTGTCAAAGAATTTGGACAATAGCTTAGACGTTTATTCATCCACTCGCCAACTTTCACTGCATGCTGCCTTAAAAAAAACTTTCACTAAATGCTGAAATTAACCTTTTCTCTTTTGTTCTTCTCTCCTTGTCAGTCTGAAAATTTGCTTTTTTCCAACAAATCTAGAAATAAGAACTTTACAACAACACGAAAATATATATAGATGCACCTATTTTCATAGGGTAAATTTTCTTTCATGATCAACCAGAACTGAATAAATGGAAAGTGATTAGGCAGGTAAAACTACGAAAAAAGGGGATGGGTAATAGATAATTCTGAGAGTAATCGAGATCATGGTCTTAATTTCAATTTTGCCAAAAAGTCAAGTATTAGAGTATTGCAATTTACATGATACAAAAGAACTTATATCAAGGAATACATGATTATGATCAGTGGGAAGCTCAAATTTAATCTTCAGCCTAGCTCAACTAGGCATAACAGGTTGTCACAAAAAGAAGAAACTCTGCTAGCGGTGGAATTTCATGGGCTTAAGGATATTTAGTAAAAGATTCAAGTACCTATATTTCATAATAGTAGAAACCTTCTTCAAAGGTAAACATGATCATGATATCCAAGAAGCCAAATTCAGCATTTGAGCTTGAGCTCAATGTGGAAGTTCAAGCAATTGGTTGTTGAATTAAATAGAGCCAAGCTCGAGTTAACGTCTATCAATTAGATATTTTGACTACAATTGTATTTTAGAAGTTAACTTATCTGTGCATACAATTAGGTATTTTGACTACAGTTGAGCTAGGTAACCAAGCTACCAGCTTAACTCAGCTTTGATGCACTCTAAATGCAAATAAATCCCCAAAAAATGAAAGAAAATGGGCATTATAAAATAGAAAAGCACCTAGGTGGACTCATTGGTGTATACGGATTCCATGCTCTGTCACGCATAGGTGTCCTCATGCCATCATGAACTGGTGTAGCTGTAGCAAATCAGGAAACAACAAAACCATTTACACAAAATATTTGGCAGTAAGTTACTATATCACTAATTAAGACCTTCAACTAGTGATATATAGAAACAGCGGAGTACCTCCGGGATCTCTCATAGGAGTCATATATGGACGTAGTGGAGTACGAGAAGGATGTACTGGGGTCTCACTTCCCATACCAAATCTGGATTTTTCCCTGACAAAAGAAACCACTCATAAATCTTCATGCTCCAAACAGATTGAAATAAATAGCAATGTAAATATATTTACCGGAATGGTGTTGAAACATTCACATTATCAGTTATTTGATCACGATTAACTGCATGTAAAATTTAGGTGAGTAAAAGGCAAGAAACCCAATAATAAAAAGTACATACAGGGACAGGTCTCTCAAAAACATTTTAGAGAGAGAGAGAGAGAGAGAGCAAAAAAACACTTGCCCGTAACTATCCTCATCTGGGCCTCAAGCTCAACTCGGAGAGCATTTCCTTTAACCTCTTTAACAATCCCATTACACCCCTTGTGAGGACCCATACGAATTTTAATAATAGCACCAACCAAATTGTCGTGCCCTCTTCCACCTCTAAATCTTCCTGCAGCTGTAAATTAAGAGCCTCATAAGGGTTACAAATAAAAGCTCGGCAATAGACGATAGAAGCCATATAGACCTGGCATTAAGAAATATAAAATAGTATACTCTCATAGCCAAAGCAAAAATAAGGAAATCAAGTATAAATATCCAAAAAGGCAAGACACCAAAAGAGGAGGAAAACCTAATCAACAACAATCACAGCACTAATGTCCAGTAGCTAACTTTTGAAGAGAAGGGGACAACATAACCAACAACACAATCAGAGCACTAAAAGCAACTTGTAACATACAATTTACAGGTGGACCGCCTCTAGGTGATCTCATTGGAGATAGGGGAGCACGAGGAGGTGCTCCAAATTTGGTGAATTTTGAATGCAAGGAGCCACCCTAAAAACAGTAACAGCGAGAATTAATTAATTATAGAATGCATTAACATTAGTAAACAACTAGTCACAAAGATATGCAACCCACATACATTTCTGTCAACATTTGCTCGTGATCCACCAACCAGCACACAGGATTGAGCTTTGGCACAAATAAAGCCAGCATGCTCAAGGTGATGCCGGTCGTAAACAAACAAAATCCCTTTGTAAATATGTTCAACAGGGCCTTGTTTTCCCTAAAGAATGGAAAGAATAGCAAAACTGTCAATCCCCAAAACCTTGCTTCAAAAGACAACCGACAAGAGGTTGAAATTCTCACTTTACAGGGGCCCTCAAGAATTTTCACAACATCTTTTACTGATAATCGGTTCCCATTTCGATCTTGTGTTCCATTATTTTTTCTGTCAAGCTTAAATTTGATCTCTCTTAGCCTCACAAGTGCTACCTCTGGCTTCTCCGGAACCCCTTTAAGGACCTGAAATTAATACCCCATTAATCATCATAACTTCAACAGAGTCACTCTTGCCTCAAAGGTAAATGCTCACCTGGAATGCTTCACTCTCGACACGTATAATTACACCAAAACTCATATCACTGCATTAACATACAAGAATTAGAACTAAATTGATATTGATAACATCCAAACAAATAAAAGGACTTACTCCAACTGCACAAGGTCATGGAGCTCATATTCTCCAATTCGAGTAATACCAGTCGTTACTTCAGAGCTCTCGACAATGTTATCAGCAAATACGCGAAGCTGAACAGAATCAGATGACAAAGTTATAGAACCCTTCTTTAGAGAAGCAAACTTTAAAACAACTGAGAGGGAATAACTTACAAGCTCCTTAGTGGTGTCAGATACTATATTTACTACATGTCCCTCAACAGAAACGACCATACCAGTTGCACCTTCTGTGGCTCCAGCTACAACCTTGACATGATTTCCAGGCTCGAAGTACTTGCAAAGCTCTCTGTCACCTATAGCAAGAGTTGCCTGCAAAGTAGAATACAGCAAGAGTGGAACACATTATCCATTTTCAACTTATATACACTTATGCTATAAAAGGACATCCAACAACAATAGCCTGTCTTTACCGGGAGACCCTTCTCATTTGGTTTTATGTGCACTGTATCTTCCTCAACTTTCTCAACCCATCCCTTCAAATTCTTCAGATCGCCTTTGACAACAATAACTCGGTCACCTTTCATGAAATGTCCCTTTTTCCTGTTTGCAAAAAGTGTGGACAAACTAGCTACATCACCATCCCCGTTCTCACTAGGTTGCCGAAATTTCTCAAGCTCATCAAATGTTGGTTGTATGTTCTGAGTGCTAATTGATTTCATGGAAAAAGATTTGTATAGGAAGCCATCCTTGAACATCATGCCCCCAATATTTTCAAAATAATCTCCAGTCATCGGATCCCTTCTACGCTCCACTCGTATGTGTAATTCTCTAGACACAAAACAAAGATCAACAGTCATGTTAGATGAGCACTAAACTACTCTTTAACTCTCTGTTTTTCACAATTATCTTACTGCCAAAGTACCTGGCCTCGTCCATATTCATAAAACGTGGAGGCGGATTAAATGTTTTGTTCTTTTTCTTTGGAACTTCTCTTCCTTCCTGAATTGTAAATTGTTTCATCAATACAAGAGCCACTCAAACAATAGCACTTCCATAGGTTGCAAGGGCAACAAATTTCTAATACTAATTAGAGCAAACTGGACATCGGAACATGTCTGACTAGTTCGTGGAGGTCCAACCTACTAACACAAGCTAGTAACAAGCAAAATACACAGTACCAACCAGCTTAGCTGCCAAGGCTGGCAAGTCAATCCGTGGGATTAACTTCAAAGTAACTTTCTGCCGCACATTATCCACGTCTACAACCTTCAAAGCAAATAGCTTAAAGTAAGAGAAAGAAAAGACCAAATGGAACAGAAGCATAACAAAATAACACATGCAAATGGCAAAAAAGCTTACATACCTTGGCAAGGTCTCCTTTATATGTTCCTGTCTTCATTCTCACCCATGTGTCCCTGGAAATATCAACAGCTTTACTTTCAACTGAAAGAACATCAGTCATCTCCTTGATTGGAACAAGCATTATTTTTGCTGAAGCAAAAATATTCCGCATACCCTTGATTGCCTGTTCCATATAACCAAAAAAGAGTCTCAATAGAATTCAACAGGTAACACAAGACTTCACATCCAATCCAATGGAAACCCAAAACTGACACAATTGGATCTCAATTATAGACAACATAGCCATCAAAAAGTGCCAGGTAAACTGCATACCTCCTTCACATGGGCTTCTTTGTCCGCTTCAATGTAAATGTAGTTCTTAAGGTGATCAAGAGCTATAACGGATCTAATTTGCAACTCAGGCCCTTTATCAATGGCCTTTTGCATAAGGCAAACTGCAACTTCCCTTTCACGACCAATCTGCCAAAAAAATATTGCAAGAACATTATGTACCAGCCCCAAATACTCATTACCGATTGGAAAAACTGTCTTTACTATCTTACCGCACATTTCACCATCCATAACTTGGGATCCCTGACAGATGGTAAAAGAGCTTGCTGTTCAACTTCTGTTGCCTCATCATCATATTCAACCTCTCGCCTACCATATCTTTCATGAATAGTCCTCTCAAGGGCCTCAAAATCCTCTTGATCCTCCTCCCGATGAAGCAGTGGGCGACGATGCATCCTTCTACCCTCATCATCTTCATCAGGTAGCTCGGCTCCAGTATCGACTATAAAGTCTACTATGAAAATCAATCATGTAAGCACTAAAAGAAGAGCAGTCAACTGTACGGTTGGAATACACAAGATCTTGTGCTGAGAAACAGTGGGCTAAATCATACAAGCAATTTAAGAAGCATAAAATCCTTGGCTCTTCAAATAATAATGTTAGGAGAACAGTGGGATAAATCATACAAGCAATTTAAGAAGCATTAAATCCTTGGCTTTTCAAATAATAACATTAGAACTACGAATTCTTCCTGAGTAGGACATCCAGTTTTGCAATTACTATAGAGAATGAAATAATGATGCCAGAAACATGATTGGACAAAGTAGAAAGCAAATATACTCAAGCACAGAAGAAAGCAGTCAGCCAGACTTATTGATCATGACAAAGAAAAAATAATTTGATTGCCTATTTACCCCTTTTCAGTAAACAACTGAGCAGGTACTTAACTATGCAAATTAAGGAAGTATCCTAAAAGTAGAACTTAAGACACGTTCACCCTTCTTACAGTAAATAAAACAAACATGAAGGTTTCCAAAAAGCCACCCTGGTGGAAAAATTGGCTGAACTCTTTGTAGGCATGTTCTCTTTAGGGTTTTATAGGAGAAAAAGAAAGATTAAATTCCAAGTAAGAAGACTCCCACAGAGATGGCCAGCAAACACCAATGACGAGTATCATCATTACACAAAGCACAACCAAATACATTGACTAAAAATTGTTTTCTAATGAGTTCTAGGGAGCACAATCTAAATCTACATACACATGCTCTGTCAGCAAAGATAACCCTATTGCAAGAAAGCAGCTCATAACGCAATGCAAAAACTTCTTAATTATTCAGTAAGCAAGTGATATAAAAAGGCTCTAATAAAAAAGCTTAACATTATTGAAGAAACTATCCAGTCTAGTTAATTATAGACATTATGAGACTAATGTCTATAGATGGCAGCTGTAATGTTTGGTATAAAGTGTTTTTAATACTTTAAAATTTGTGTAGAACATAAACTTGCATCAAGACAAACTAGGATAATCTTTTTATGTACAAAAGTACAAGTGATAAATGCAACCACCTATCTGGAGTACATCTTTGAGAGCTTTAGGACCCTGAATTCTAGAAAACAATTCTCTACGTATCCACAACCCTTCCTCTTAGAACTTTCAAAAGGCCAAGAATTAGCAAAGGAATCCACAATATTCCACACCACTTTTGCGGAATTTCACTCTTCAACTTTGATTGCTTCACGTATTATGTCCCAATTTTAAGGTGAAATGGTCCAAATATTATCCAATGAATTAAAGCCAACAGTTTGATGGCATAGGCACCAGTATAGCATCGTGAATTCAGTTCAATGAACCATTCATAAACATTCAAACCCTTATTTCACTTCAGTCAATATCACGTAACTAGAAAATCAACTAGCTGGCGTATTCACGAACAAGAGCACAAAAAATTAGGCATAAAAAACAATACATGTCATTTGGCATACCCTAACGGAGTACAAGTACTGATAGCCTTGATAACCTAAGTTAGGTGCATCTCTGGGGGGAACCTATTGGGCGAATCCCTTGTTGAGATGCAATAGCAAGTATGTACTTCAATAAGGCATTTTTAGTGAAAATTCAATTTAAAAAAGGCTTGTTTAGCCTACTTCATCCTAAAAGTTGCCAGGTTTATTCACCAAGATTAGATTAACTAAGAAAGGACACATAGAACACGGTAAAAGTTGCATATAATCAGCAAGAATACATATGAAAAACCATTGTGCATAACCCCTAGAAGATTGACAATTTGCAATGAGTCAACACCAGATGCACGCATCTGGCACATAATAAGATAGAACTAACTACAAATTGAGGTCTCAAATATTGTTTTCATAAGTATTGAGTGGACATGCTTTACACTTGAATTTGCATGTGCTGCGATCATTCTGTAAAGTTTGGTTTGGAACTTTAATGAGGTGAAGAAAAAGAATCTGTCCAGCTTAAACCCACATTGCAGTCATCCTACGTTCTGCAGGAAAGGCAATTCATGGACAGCACACTCAGAGAAAGCTCACATATTCCTCTCACCATCTTTATTCAATTGACAAATTTTTTACCCACATCCACTCCTTGAGATTCATACATCAAGTTTTAAAATTTTGTAAAGTGCTTTCTCAGAAAAGCCAACAGTATAGTGATAAGCTGGAAGACAGCAATGCAAGACACTACATTGGCTTTCCAGTGTACCAGAGAACAAATTTTAAATTTCTAAGCCGAGATCCTAAGCTGCTAATAGTCTTTTCACTGCGATTGTATTTCAGACTCACAGGACAAATGTTCAGACCTTATTTCAACCTACCAACAACAAAGCGTTTAGGTATAAACATTTGACCAGTCCACTAACCAGCCTAATCTCAATCAACTACATGTACCATTTCATCCATAGATGCAGATCCTCAAAAAACCACCAAAATTTTTGTGCCCCATTTTAATCCATAGCCGAAGATCCTCAAAAACCATCCAAAAATTTTATATGAGATCAATTTCAAGAAAAAGTATAGACCCAAAGGGAAAAAAATAAAATTTTGGATGGACAATTGACATCATCAACCCGTATAAAACTCATGCACACTGTTCTCCTACAATTCATTTCACAACTTATTAGACACTTCACCTACAGATCATGTATCAAACCATGCAACATATTGTTATTCCTAAAAAAAATCCTAGAGCTTAAAAATTTATCCAAAGTTTCCACCGAATTTCACCACTTAGATTAGAACTTAATCACATATGCCCACACAAATGTTCCGCAAAACAGTAACTGTAAATTCCGACAGTTAGTCGAGGTGGAAGATACGTATAATTAAGTAAATTTCAAATATTAGTAAGAATTCACACAAAATAAATTGAATGAGATTCTGACCATCTTCGCCTTCTTCCTCCTCTTCTTCCTCATCAGTATCAACTTGAGCTTCAAGTTCAAAAAAATGCGACCCCGACCTCTTCTTTGCCTTTCTCTTTCCACCGCCGCCGCCATAATCCTCATCATCATCGTCTTCCTCCTCTTCCTCATCATCTTCCTCCGCCAAATCATCAATAAAATCCGATCTCCGCCGTTTTTTCCCGGCCTTTCCTCCATCATATTCTTCCTCTTCGTCCTCGTACTCCTCTTCCACATCCTCATCCTCCTCCGGCTCCATCTCGTCGTCGTACTCCTCTTCTCGTCTTCGCGGCATCGTAAATCTCACTTCGTAATTCTCCTTACAACTGCAATTAAGCTCTTCTTAATTCTTGATTGTGTCGGTCGCTGATAGGAAAGATGGAGATTTGTGAAACCCTAAATGGAAAAATTGGGGATTTTGAAGAGAGAGAGAGTGGAGTGTGTTGTTCTTGTGAATTTATGAGGACGGTGAGGGGTGGAGGGAGTTGGGCTGAGCTACCATTGTGGATTGGGCTTTCAATTGAAATTTTAGGTTGTCAGTTTTTCCTTTGTTCCTTTTTTAGAGTCAATAGCCCAAAAACCTTTGTTTGTTCCTGACCTTCTGGCAGTTGACGGCCCAAAACCCATAACCACAAATCTTCACGAAAATTTTTCTGAGGGAAAATCTTCCCAAAAATTCGAGTGGCTAGCGAGTTTTCAAAATCAGGATCCTATCGTTTAGAGATCACCAGAAAATATATTTTCTTTTTCACAAGCATTTTATATGGCTGTTACTAGTAGGCTTTGGTCAGACATATAATAGTTGACTTTAAAATATATCCGGATCATCCTAATTTATGATATTTATATTTGATACTAAGTAGCATGTATAAAAATTTTGCTTCCTAAAAAATTTACCTTTATTTCAGTGAGAATAAGCATTCTAATAAAAAATTTAGATGGCTTGTTTTCAAAATCAAGATCCCATTGTTTAGAGATCACCAAAAAATATATTTCCTTTTCCCAAGTATTTTATATGGTTGTTTGTTGCTAATAGGCTTTGGTCAGACATATAATAATTGACTTTGAAGTATATCAGGATCATCCTGATTTAAAGACATTTATATTTGACACTAAATAGCATATATAAAAATTTTGCTTCCTAAAATTTACCGTCCGTAATTAATTACATTTTGTCAATTGTCTTATCTTTTTTTTACGGAGTACTATCAAAGTTGAAAACAATTAACTTTTATTTCCTTGTATCAAAGTTGAAAATATTTATAAAAAAAAAAAATAGCATAGGTGGATGTGTTTTTATGGAAACCTTAGGGACTAAATCAGTGCATTTTCCAAACTTTGGGGGACAAAAAATGCAATATTCCCTTTTGCATATCGTGCATCTCGATGCCACTTCAATCACAGTCCCGTCTTGGACTGAATCACAAAAATGGCGGGGAAAAACAGCAAAACCGGCAGCAGAATCACGACCACGGCAACGCCCTGCACCCGCACGCACCAGATTGGAGCTCTAGCTCTGGTAATCTTCACCTTCTTCCTCACCAGACTCATTGATCAGACTTTCCCCCCTTCCTCCTCCTTCGACAGCGTCCCCTCCCACTACAGCCAATACGACGCCGCTCTGGTTGCCGCCGGCGGGTCCCTAATTTGGCCCCAGAGGGGGTACGGGGCCCAATTGTCGATAAAGATCTACGTCTACGATGAAAAGGAGATCGACGGGCTTAAATTATTGCTCTTTGGCCGTGACGGCAAGATTACGCCGGAGGCTTGTGTTAAGGGCCAGTGGGGCACTCAGGTAATTTTTTTATGAAAATTCAAGTGCAGTTGTTTACACATTTGTGCAATAATTTTGATTTTAATTGTGTTATGAAGTTTCCGGGGATGGTGGAAATTGTTGTGTATGGTTTAAGTTGAATTAACTGTGATTTTGCATTGGGGAATAGAAAAGGAAAGGGACAAAAAAGAAAAGAAAAGAAAAGCTTAATATTCGTTATATATTGATGGGTATTAGGAAAGATGGTAAAAAATGGTGAGGAAGGAGTAATTTTAGAGTTTTTAGAATGGAGGGTTATTGGTAGGATTTGAAAGGAATTATACAGTAATGATCAGAAAGGAGAACTAGCTCTGTAGAATAAAATAGTGGTACATCCCATTGTATTACTAGTGAATTTCTCGAATTTGTGAGGTCGATGAGAGAAAGAAAATTGGATTCTTTGATTGGTTTTTCTTTCGTATTTCTCGACATAATATGTGTAGCATTTCTAATGTGGATCAGATACATTTGATTTGTGCTGGTCGGAAAGCACATTTGCTCTTTTAGAACTATATAAAAGTTTGTAGGGTTGTTGCTCGTGTTCTCCGTCTTCTAGATTGATGACTGCCTGGAATTCACTGCTTTGATGATTTAAATTACTTTGATTTGTCATGAGTGGCTTTTTTGATGTGCTGTAGGTTAAGATACACCAGATGCTCTTGCAGTCGAGGTTCCGGACGAATAAAAAAGAGGAAGCAGATTTGTTCTTCGTTCCAACTTATGTCAAATGTGTTCGGATGATGGGTGGCCTGAGTGACAAAGAAATTAACCAAACTTATGTCAAGGTGATAATCCATCATCTCAAATTGAATCTTGCCTGGATGAGTTCATTGCTTACATGTTTGGAATTAATTTCTTGATGATGCTTTGGATAATGATATTTTCCATTAGGAACCTTAAAATTCTGCAGTGTTTCAATTTTGTGCAATATTGAAAAAGTTACGAACTTTATTGGCTTTCTGTAGCTGCATTCTTGTCTTCCCATCACACTGGAGTAAGATATTTTCTTTACTTATGGCAGCACACATTTCGCAGGTACTAAGTCAAATGCCTTATTTCAGGGTCTCAGGGGGACGCAATCACATATTTGTCTTCCCAAGGTATTGTGGGTTTATTCGCAGTTTAGTGTTATTTGTTGATCTTAAGTGACTTGTAATAATATTATGTTATCTAACTTGCATAGGCAGGTGAACAAAGTAGGAATGTCAGTTTTAGATTTTTGAACTGCAAAAGAGTTAAAAGGCTGTCAATTGTCAAAGCTTTGTAGTTCTGTAAGAGAAATGGCTTTGTAGTTCTGAACTATCCTATTTGTCCTGTCCTAATCCTGCATTAGAGTTTTTTTTTTTTTGTGTTTTTTTTGGTGAGTTGGGGGGTTGGGGGGAGGGGGGGTGGGGAACAGGGGTCTTATGTTAGCAGATTGGGTTTTTAATCTCTGTTAATGTTTTTATTGACTTTCCTTGTGAACCAAAAGGGTATTTCAGCTGTGGCTGCTATTGCTGTATTGGTGTTTATTCAGCTTTAATGGTGGTTCTTTGCTGTGTTTACCTAATTCTCATTACTGCAGTGGTGCTGGAGCGCATTTATTCAAGTCTTGGGCCACTTATTTGAACCGCTCCATTATCCTTACTCCCGAGGTACAGTTTGACTTTGGCATGGGTATTTATGCTGAATGAAGTAGGTAAAAGGAGAGAGAAGTGTAGTTTACGCACAAAACAAGTGCCTAATTTTCCAAAACATTCACCAAAGGTCGAGTAGGTTGTTTTAACTCTTTGGAGAATATGTAACTCATTCTTTTGCAATGGATGAGTCTTAGGCAGTACAGCCCTTGTCCAGTGCTTGCAATTTCTGTTGTCTGTTTCTCAAAGAATAACTTTATGAAATTTTCCAAAACGTTCTTGGTGCCAAAATGGTTTTTAAAGTCCATGTCCATATCTGCTAAGTTTCGTACATGTTTGCTCATTTGAATTGAAGGATTTGCTTGTGTGTCTCTTCTGTTTAGAATGAATGGGTAATTCGGGTTTTTAAGAATGAAGCTTTTGTTGAAGAACGTGATACATTCATCAATTGAGACCTGTTATGGTGCTTTAACTGAGATGACAGGGATGAACATTTTTTATATTAGAGCAGTAGCATTTCAGATTGAACTCAAGCTTTTCCACTTACTGATTCCTCAGATTTTTTATTTTTAAGGGGAGTACATGGCTTGAGTTTTACACCACTAAATTACAGGCGAAAACTGCTCATTAATTACTTGTTGGCTTTTTTTAGCCTGTCTTACACAACAAATGGTCTTCAAATGTAATTCAGGGAGACCGGACTGATAAACGAGACACTAGTGCCTTCAATACATGGAAAGATATAATCATTCCTGGAAATGTTGATGATAGGATGACCAAGGGGGATAGGCTGGTTGAGCCTTTGCCTTTAGGAAAGAGGAAATATTTGGCAAACTATCTAGGACGAGCACAGGGAAAAATTGGTCGTCTTCAACTGATAGACCTTGGAAAGCAATTCCCGAATAAGGTACGAGTTTATTCTTTCACCTCTTTCCTCACTGCAGTATATCAGGGTCAGAATAAAGAAAAGCAGATCGCTGTACTTGTAAATAGTATTTGAATGTTATATACATTTTTGGATCTTAACAATGAGGAAATAAGCATTTAAAAGCTTCTTTCTGCTCTGCAGAAACTTATACATCACTTCATGTTAGATGTTTCCAAAGTTCAAGTGCCACTTCTTTCTGTCCTATAAAGTATTATAGTTCGGTTTACCTGGGTTTTGCATCACTGCCATAGTTTTCAGCTTGTTCATAAAGAATGAGAGTCTGGTAACTGTGGAACCTTGTATTTATGGTCTATATTGACAACAATAATTCTTAGACGCATTGCTGTTCTCTTTCTGAAGATATAGAAATCAATAACAGCCTTATTTGGTGAATGTTAGTCTCGATACAAATGGCTGAAGACCAACTGAAATGATAATCTCTAACAGTGATGGCCGTAGTTCATAGATTGTACCATTGACAATGTACCCTTTTGCAACCAGGTCAATAGGTTCTTCTCTCTGGTGGCTGCTCGAGCCTGTCTAAAATTCTTTAATATCATAATTATGCTTGCCTTTACTTGCTTTATAGTTGTTTGGTGGTCATTCCTCCAAAAAAAGGTACATGCTCATTTTGTACACAGTTGGAATCTCCAGAATTAAAGTTCAGTGGCTCGGAAAAGCTTGAGAGAGCAGCATATTTTCAGCATCTGCGCAATGCCAAATTCTGCTTGGCTCCACGGGGCGAGTCTTCCTGGAGCCTACGCTTTTATGAGTCCTTTTTTGTGGTTAGTCTTTCAACCCTTCCATGTATCTATTAACAGGAGCGCAGTCCGCCTTTTAGTTATGCTTATGATTGTAATTTGCCGAACAGGAGTGTGTACCAGTAATTCTATCAGATCAAGTGGAGTTGCCTTTTCAGAATGTAGTCGACTATTCTCAGATATCAATCAAATGGCCATCTACGCAAATAGGTCCTCAGCTGTTGGAGTACTTGGAATCGATAGCAGGTTAGCCTGCTACTTCTTTTGTTGCAAATCCAAATTCTCCAAAGCATTTCTAATAGCATTTGATTTGCTTC